GGAGCCGGCGCGCCGGTGGGCCGGCTGCGCCCTGGGCGCGCTGCTGCTCCTGGCCAGCCTGGCGCAGGCGGCCCTGGCGGTGCTGCTGTACCGCGCGGCCGGCCAGCGCGCCGTGCCCGCCGTGCTGGGCTGCGCCGGGCTGGTGTTCCTGGTGGGCGAGGTGCTGCCGGCCGCCGTGAGCGGGCGCTGGGCGCTGGCGCTGGCGCCGCGCGCGCTGGCCCTCAGCCGCTTGGCGGTGCTGCTCACCTTGCCCGTGGCGCTGCCCGTGGGCCAGCTACTGGAGCTGGCAGCGCGGCCCGGGCGCCTGCGGGAGCGCGTGCTGGAGCTGGCGCGCGGCTGCGGCGACCCCTACAGTGACCTCAGCAAGGGCGTGCTGCGCTACCGGACCGTGGAGGATGTGCTCACGCCGCTCGAAGACTGCTTCATGCTGGACTCTGGCGCTGTCCTGGACTTCGGCGTCCTCGCCAGCATCATGCAGAGCGGCCACACGCGCATCCCGGTGTATGAGGAGGAGCGCTCCAACATCGTGGACATACTGTACCTCAAAGACTTGGCCTTCGTGGACCCCGAGGACTGCACGCCTCTCAGCACCATCACCCGCTTCTACAACCATCCACTCCACTTCGTCTTCAACGACACTAAATTGGACGCCGTCCTGGAGGAGTTCAAGCGAGGTAAGGGGCTGCCCCTGGTGGAAAGGATCGCGGCCAGAGAAGGCACTAAAACTTGACCTTTTTCAGAAAGTGATGGCCTTGCGTCTGGGCGTGACCTCTGGAAATATTGAAAGTCCTCCGTTTACACTCGGGGAGGAAGTGCTGTGCGAGTCTGATGCAGGATGGTGGGAAGGTGGTTCCAGGCCTGCATGGGTCATGTAGTAAGACCCTATTTATATAAAAAGAAAGAAAAAAAGAAAAAAGGCTGGGGATGTAGCTCAGTGCTTGCCTAACATACAGGAAGCCCAGAATCGATCCCCCGTCCTCCAGAGAGAAACCCTGTGTTGAAACAACAAAAAGATGTAGGTTCCCCTGTAGCACTCCACCCTCATCCTTAGGGTGCTCCTGGCCCCCAGACGTGCTTCCTCGGAGGGTGGGAGCGGAAGCGCAGCAGGGCTCTGGGTGTGCTGAGCTGTGCGGCATGAAGTGTCAGTTCTTCTGGCCCCAGGTCCACTCATTGAGCCCCTGGACAGTCAGTGCAAGAGGCAGCTTCAGTGACGTGATGGGCACTCTGCATGCCCACGGTCCCTTTGTCTCTGCAGGGGACTTCTGTGCAGATGGTGAGTGGGTGAATGGGAGGCTTGAGTGAGCAGCTCTGGCCAGTGTGTTGGAGGACCGCTCAGGTGTGTCCTGGCTATCTCCTAGAACTTGGTCCTGCAGCCTCTTTCTAGGGAGTGGGTAGGGTGGAGCCTCCTGATAGTATGGTGCCTGGTGCCTGGGCTGTTTCAACCCTCAAACAAGGCACTTACAGTTTAGGCGCCAGCCAGCAGGGTCTTCTTCAGGTCCTGGGAAGACCCCTGCAGCTCTCTTGCTCTGTTAGTTTATCAAAGAGAGAGATAGGTCTGGTGTGCATGTTAAACCTAGGGACTCGTTCCTGAGGTGGTGTTTGTTAGCCTTTTAAGGGTGAACCTGGAGGTATGGGTTCCATTTCTTCCAGAATTATTCCAAGCCTTCCTGTTAAGGGAGCAATATAGAGACCGCCACAGTCCTTTGATGCTCCAAACTCTCTTGGTTCTAAGGTCTTTAAGTTGTTCACTCTCATCAAGGACAGTGGCATATGCCTTGCCAGAGCAAGTTCTGACTGACCTGTGTCAATAGGAAGGAAATGTCCCAGCCGAGGACAGCCACAGGAGGATTGTGCCTGTGAAGCCCCGTGGGATGGGGTTTGGGCGGGAGTGGTGAGCAGGGAAGTGCTCACTGTAGTGTCCCCTTCCAGCTGGACCCATGTTTTGTCCCTTTAAATGCTGTGAGTGTCACCGATTTGGGACAGTGGAGGTTTAAGGATTGCCCTGACTGACTAGAACTGAATTTAAGCTTCAGGGATTGGTACCCGTGGTAAGGATGCTGCTGCTGAGACATGTTTGTCTTCCAGCCCCGTAGTTAAAATGTTCACAGAGGCAAGATGTGCGGTGTGCCTGTGTTTGGCATTATGGATGTCTGTGTGATCAACAGGGCTGTGAGCCAAGAGCAGCACTGACTGGGTGATTTTGGTTTTTTGAGACAGGGTCTCTCTGTGTAGCCTTGACTGACTGGCCTTGAACTCAGATCCTTCTGCATCTGCCACTCAAGTGGTCAATACTAAACCCAGATTGTCTGAGTGGTTTTAACTGATGTGGGCACCAGTGGCTCAGGGAAGCCAGGTCAGGTGTCACATTGGCCTGAGGAGGTGACCCAGGGAGGCATCAGGAGGTAGAATAGAGGACGTTTGCTGCTTGGCCTAGGGCTGTGGAGGCAGAGGTTGTATTGGAGGAGGCCTAGGCCTGACTCAGGCCAGGAGCAGGTGAGTGTTTTCTTACATTGGAATTTGTGTCCTGAGCAGCAGATTCCTAGCAGATAGCTGATATGTACTGCAAACAAAAGACTGCAGAGGAGGTGAGGGTCTGAGGAACAGTCTCCAGAGGTAATGAGTGGTACAGATAGCCTAAGCCCTGGGAACACACACACACAAACAAAAGCAGGAGGATGCAGCTGGAAAAGTTGCCAGGAACAGACTGGACCATGAAGAAAGAGAAGCAGAATACCCCCAAGAGCTAAGGGACTAGCCCACCTTCCAAGAGGAATGGCATCAGGAGAGGTCAGTAGCAGGATGCCCTTGCCGCTGCCCCTCCCCCAACCAAGGGCCAGGGAAGGAACCCAGAGCCGTGTACTTGTTAGTCAAGCACTCTGCCACTTAGTTTTTGCCCTTGATCTTTGGCCCTGGGGCAGAGGACTAATTGGGAGAATGAATGTGGTTGGCCTTCATTCACCACGCATGGCTGCAAAGTAGAGCCCAGGTAGCCGTGACTAGCAGAGGACCAAAGGATGGAGGGTGTGTGGCAGGGGAGAAGCCTTCTACTCTTGGGTTTTAGGAAAATAGAGTCGGTTGAACGTAACATGTCAGCAGGAAGGAAATGTCACAGATAGGGAAGGCCACGGTGTGTGTGCGTGCTTCAGATTTGGGGCATGCAGCCCCTGGAGAAGCAAGCAGGCAGATTTCAGGCATCCTTATGCTGGAGGATTTGGAGTTGGATGCCTCTGTTTAAATAGACTGTTCCAGTAACATGCCTTCTAGAAACAGGGTACAACCTGGAGGGGACTTCCTGGGTCATGCGGTGAATGGCTTCTATGAGCTTGCATTTCCTTTTCTGGGTTCTTTTCATCCCAACTCTTTAGACTTTTGTTCTCCTAAGAAGAAGACGTGTTACAGTCTTCCCGACATCACAGTCTTCCCTTCAGTTCTCTCCGCTCTGCCGAACATCTGAGGCTGTGGTGCCCACTAATCTTACTGGCGCTTGAGTATGTGGTGTCTTGTCCGCTGTGCTTGGGGGCCTGGCTCCCTTGCTCAGTTCAGCCACCAGTAGCCTGGGGAGAGGTGCCCCTTGCACAGATTATTTTGTGCATAAGTCTCCTGAAATAGAGTGTGCTTTGGAGTTGCGGTGACTTGTATCCTCTGGAAAGCAGTCAACCTCTGCTCTCTTCCCTGTCAGCCCCATGAGACGCTTGAAGCACAGGAAGGATTAGGGGACCGGCTTGTCATTCAGCGGCTACCATCACCAGCTTGAGGTCTGCTTTATTATAAAAAGCCAAGTGACAGGGTGCTGAGGTGAGCCAGATCTCAGGGGCTGGGAGTTGTTAGCATGTGTTTTTCTCAAATGTGCACGTGCACACATACAGTTGCTTTCGAAGACAGCGAAGGGTCTTGAGGCATAGGTCCATGGTGGCAAAAGGGGTAAAGCACGAGACCCAGGTTTCTATCCCCGAAGCACACACACAGGCGCGCGCACAC